TTTAAGATGCATGTTGTGTTTTAAGACTTCAATACTGGACAGTTCTCCAATGAAATTTGCTGTCAGGTCAAGTTTCTGCAGTTCTTCACATCCTGTTTGGAAAGATGTTATTTACCTTGAATATGATACGCACACATCTACAGCATTTGGGGCAGAACTGCAGTCTGTATTTGTTTTGCACATATGCATACAATACTTTGTTTTTCAGGATTGGATTTGGGAGAATAATTAACAGCAACTAATTGTTACCGGTTCCTAAGTTTGTTGGTGGTCATAACGCATGTGAAGTGAGAGAAGTTTTACTAAAAATTCACAACCAACCCAAAATTATACAAAATACTGCTAGTTAGATTCCTATAAAAATGTTTGGTGGTCTGTTCTTGCACATTCTCTACAATGAGATGTGTATTGGTGAGTTATAAGACCCACACAGAATTGGGTGCAGAATTCTTAATTGGCTGAATCTGCCCCAATTCGTTAAAAATCAGTCACCGCAAGTAATTTTCTTAGGACATGTGCAGACGTTTCTGGGACCCATTCCAGGGGGATGAGAGGGGTGGGGTGGGGTGGGCAGGCTTGTGGGTCCAGGGGCGGTTGATGGATCTGTGAGGAGGGTGTCCATCCAGAGCCAGGGCCTCTGCCATCCCAGGGCTGGGCTCTGAATATGTATACACATTGGTTTAATAGATTTCATAGACATTAGGGATGGAAGGGACCTCGGAAGATCATCGAGTCCAGCCCCCAAACCCCAATTGGGTTAGATCAGGAACAAGTTAGCCTGATCTATGAAGCGCACCTCCTTAGGCAAACTAAGATTGGGCCAGCCATTTTTGCCTGGTCTAAACTCCCAGAACAAATACACAGTTCACCACTTATATTGTCCTAACCTAGTTAGGTTGATCTAAGTGTAACATTTACACATACCCTAATTAGAGGAAGAAGCAGCTGTATTTTGTGCACTCTTGTTGAGACAGGCAGGAAAAAAAAAGAAAAACTGCTAATGGCTCTGGCAGGGAACAGACTTCGAAATAGCCTTTGAAGGGACACATGCCAACCCATAGCTTTTTTGAAAATGAATTATTTTAACTTAAGATAATTTCAAGGATAAAACAAACCAAGAAAAATACTGGTCTAATTATGGCAGAGCGACAAGAGTTCTTAGGAGGTCAGGACAAATGGCAGACTTTATGATTTTATACTTCTTTTCTTAGCTGATACTATTTGTGTATAGGAGCCATGTAAGTAAAACTGGGCTTCTCTCACAGTTTCTAGACTTCTAAATTAAATATGCATGGCAATTAAAATTGCTAACTTTTAACATTGTGGCATTTCTCCTTGAGTGAGCTGGTCTGAAGGTGCAAATGTTGCTGAACCTCTGGGGGAAAATAAAAAAGTCATGGATACTAAAATATCTACACTGTAAACTGAAATTTGGGA